AGCAGGGCAGAAAATTGAGCTATTAGGGCTGCTTTGATGGTCTATTCTGCCTTTGTCTTTGATAATAAAATGCAGACTAAGTGAATTTATTTTACTGGATTGCATATTTGAATACTTTTTTTGCCTACAACAAACTAGTTGTAGGGAAACGTATTATTAGAATAAATTAAGGTTATCAGGAGCACCATGTATGGACCTTAACTAATACATACGTAGCACAAATGTGCTTACCTCATGACATTTTTGCCTGTTGAGAAAGTAACCATCTGGCTGACCACAGCTCCCAGTGTTTGATCCAACATTCATTGACATTCCTCAAGGTCAGCCATGGCAGCTGACTGCTTCCCACACCATGTTTCCATGTTCATAAAGTGATTTACTTTAAATCTTTGCTGAGGCATGGATTTATTTATTTATTTTTATTTATGGACTTAGATAAAGGGCAATAAGTTTGCTGGGTTTGTGGATAAGAATTGTGCACACAGTGCTGTACATCTTATCTACATGCTGTGTTACAAAGTAGAATATTATGCAAGATATTCTGAAAATTTTACTACCCTAAAAAGATAGCAGAAGTTACTTGAGTGTAGAATTCATACTATTCACAGCCCTTGGAAGAAATGCATGTAGGTTAAATGGGATTGGGTGGTGGTGGGGTGGGCTGCAGAGTAGTGATAATGGAAGAGAAACAAGTAATGCTATTTGGGTTAATGTGTAATTTTGGTGGAGCCAATCTTGATAATGGATTGGTCGGAGGGTAATGTACAGCCCAGGTGTTGCATCTCAGTCAGTTTATCTACCCTGCAGCTCGGTGCTTCTCATCTGTACAGGACGTCTTCTTGAGGATCCACAGTGTGGAAACCACTGGAGGTCTGAGCTTTAGATTTTATGCATATTCTCCAAGAAATGTCTATATAAATGCATAGGTAAACCAATCCTTTTCTTCTTCAGGTGGCAACATTTCAGAGCTGATGTCTGTCTATCTCTGATCTCCGGGTTCAGTAACTGGAATCTGTCCCTGCAAGGTTAAAGTATGCAGGGCCTGACTGGTTACTGTACCCAGGGGCCAGGCTAACCCTCACAGACCAGGCTTTCTTCAGTGCAGACAAACATACATTCAGATGAACAAATGTTGCAAGACTCGACCTAAAAATCTTAGGTTCTTCTTATTTACTGCTGAACTGTAATGAATCTGCTCATTTTTCCTTTTACTGTTAAAATAAATAGAAATAATATGTAAAAAAAAAAAAAAAACAGCCCAAAAAAAAAACTCTAAAAAGAAAGTAGAGTATAAAAGAAAGTAGAGATAAGCCAAAAAAAAAAAACCTTTTTTTTTCTCAGAACAACCAGCTAATAATGAAGAAGAAAAAAAAAAAAAAAAAAAAACATCTGAGATCCACATTACAAAAACAGTGACACCAAAAGTGTACTATGGTTCATGGCGTACTACCTGACAGCATAACCCTCTCACCACTAGGTGGAAGAAGAAGACCATTTAAAAACTGCTGCTAAATATAAGAGCTACTGAGTGCAGACTATAAGAAAACAGCAGGGCTCTAAGGAATTCAGCCACTGAGTTTTGTTACCAGTAAACAGGAACTACGGCTCTAATAAGACATTTCATGTTGTTTACATGACAGTCAAAATGGCAGGAGTAACTATGTGGGTGGAACCCCAGGCATGAAAGCCCACTGGCATTCCCACTACTGACCTTTAAGACAGATCACGTAGTGGTGAGATGATGTATTTTACAACCCTGTTGCTGATTAAAAGTAAAGAAAAGCGACTCCAGATAATGAATGTGCATAGTTCAAGGATAAAAAACGGCTTACACGTAGGAGTAGAATGCTTAATGTTTTTGGATTATTGCAATGATTAAAAAGCGCTCTATGAAATGATTGTTCAGTCTTTTCTATGCTATTGTAACAAATGCCAGCATGCTTTAAATGAACTGGCTGCAAATGGTCATGGCTTAAAAAATTGACTCATAGGAGCATGGCCTAAAGCTCCTACCCTCCAACCTGCAACCTGACCTATGTCACACTATCACAAAACAAGTTTTCACGGTGAAATGATTCTAATTCCATTTCTCTGGGGAGCTGTAGTTGCTGGTGTAAATACTGTTTGCAGCTGTTGAGTTTTCACACTGCTGCAGCTGTGGGAAACAGTCCTCTCCTTTCAGCTGTAGCAGATTAAAGGTGACGCCTTCTGTCGCTTAACCAAACACCAAATCAGCAAAGTTGCCTTAATTTTTTTCCTAGTTTAAAAAAAAAAAAACAATACAGGAAAACAATTGTTGTAATAAAATAATACAAGTTTGATCTCAGTACCTTTATTCATTGGGAAAAAGTCAAATTTTTTTTTTTACAACCCTTGTTATAGAGATTTTTACAAATTTCTAGTGAGTAATACAAACCTTCTTTTTTCCTTGAGAAACACATTTGCAACAGAGGCCATGTTTTCTAAGACACTCTTTAAAATGGTCAAGAGAACATAACAAATAAAGATGTTAGTCATGAGTGGTTCTAGATGGGGTCCAACAGGGGCCAGTGCCCCTGTAAAACTACTCCTGGCCATTGTTATGGCCCCTGTAAATAAAATCATGATAGCAAATACATTTTTTATGATGACATGCTCTGACACATTAGCCATAATCGAATGGTCCATTGCAGTTATTTCATTTTCTTTACCTTCATAGTTCTAATTTGATTTAATCTGTTTTCCTAACGCTTTAATCCTGCATTGGTTCAAATTGATCAATTTTATTTAAAATATGTAAAATATGTGTTATTGCAGAATCATGAAAGTACTTTAATACTTACTTTAATCTTTATCCCAAAGATGATAAACATTATGTGTTTGTAAAACCCCCTCAATTTTTTTTTTCTTTCTTTGGTCCAGTTTTATTTATTGACCATAGAGACAGGGATCATACCACAAAAATTGAACAACAAATGTGATTGTTTTTCATGGTAATAGACTTTTTATTTTAGGTAAGGCAAAATGAACAGTTTCAAACCAGAAATATTCATTCTCAGTTGCAACAATATAACATTAGAATTTAAATAAAGGACTTGGACATTTCTTCCTTTAAGTTTGAAGCCAGAAGTGGCTTCTAATATAACAAATGTACTATGAACTAAACTATATCTGTTCCTGTGTTTCCATAGTATTCACATGGTATTCACATAGTATTCGCGAAATTGTCATAAGTAGATAACTACTCACTTTACCTCCCCAGTAACTACAGTAAGAACTGAAATATTAAAAAAAAAGAACTTTAAAAAAAAAGTGGTAAAATCCAGCAAAATGTTTAAGTATCAAATTGTCAGGGGTGCTAATAATGTGTGGGGGGTCAATAAGATAATACCAAAATATATTAAATTCTAATTGTATAAGCAAACTCTTAACCTGCTGTTAAATGTGGCACCAAGATGATTTTTGTGGTGAACAATAAAAATGTTTGAGTTAGATAAATTCCACACAAGCTGGCTAGTTAGCAGCCTGGTGGTACCTCTTTAAATAGCTTCTGACTTCCTCTGAGGAATGTGCTCCAGATAATAAAAGTGGTTTGGTGGCTCGCTCTTTCGTTAAGTTTCTACCAGGTCCGTAACATTCCACTTTTAAACGAGCCAATTCTCTATAACAGGAGCCTTGGCCCATTTTATAGGCGTACCTGCTTGAGGTACATGAGGTTCTAGAGGGAACCGGTGATGAACGTTTATTTGGTCTAGATAAGCTGAATCAAGCTACAATCAAACGGATATTTAAAAAAAAAAATTGCAGAAGGAATTAGCATTTCAATAAGCCTTTAGTCAGACTTAAGATTTTGTAAGCATTTAGAGTTGTACAGTGATTGTTCCCTGCTGTACTGTAAAGCTTTGTGACATCCTGCCTGTGAAAACATGCCATGAACATAAATGTTACTTTCTTACTGCCAAAACCACCACTGGTGTTTGGTTACAACTCTCAGGTATTTAAAAAGAATTGCAATAGACAAAATTCCTTTTTTTTTTTTTTTAAAATAAGTTATAGTAATGTTAACTATCATACACTAGACAATGTAATTCTAAAATGCATATGCATTCACAGAGTTTGAGTAATCCTGCAAATGACAGCAAAATGTGATAATAATTGTGATGAACACTGAAATGTTTTTCATCCTGTAGCTTTATTTAATGAACATTACACTCTAGCCACCTATATTTAACCCAGGTGAGCAACCTGATCTGACTTTTTAAATAGCCACTGGATCCTATAGAGAACTGATAATGAAAGGAGCTTCCATTGCTTGCATGATAATATTGAATTTTAGGGCATTTGTCTACAAATTCATAAAAATATCAGATGATCATTGTGGTTTTATTCATCTTTTATTACAGAGCACAGTTTTTTTTTTGCAAATGAGAAATTTAAAACATATAAAACATCATGGATCATTTTTCATGTACATATCTCTTTTTATATCTTTCTAATTAGTGGATATTCTCCAGGACACAAGATGGCCAAACCCCTGGCATCAGTTGCATTGTTATGAAATTACTTCATCACCACTTTGAAACACGGCAACATTCTTATGCAAATAGCAGGATTGAAAATTGACGATTCTTGATGCTAAATAAAAATCCTAGGGCTGCTGAATGGAGCAGTGGGCAGCACAGCAGCCTTGCAGCAAGAAGGTTCTGGAAGGTTCGAATCTTGGCCAGGGGGGCTTCCTGCATGGAGTTTGCACTTTCTCTTTGTGCATGTCTGGGTTCTCTCTGGGTACTCCAGCTTGCTCCCACAGTCCAAAAACATGACTGTTAGGTTAACTGGCTTCCTTAAATTCTCCTTAGGTGCGAGTGAATGGATTTTTCTCTCTGTGTAGCCCTGATAGACTGGCGACCTGTCCAGGGTGGACCCCGCCTGTCGCCCGCAGTCAGCCGGAGAAATACACCAGCACCCCTCGGGATAAGTGTGATGGAAAATGGAATGGAAGTAAAAATCCTCCCTTTTTAGGACAAAAGCCTTAGAAAGCTATGACAAGTGCAAGTTACACAAATGTAGCGCACAGCTGAAGCTCTTTATTATAAAACCTAAAACATATGAAGGTGAATACATTTGCATGTGTCACACACTGTAAAAGTGAAAAAATAATGTATTTTCCTTAACCTCCTGTCATGCAAAAGTTTGTGGGAATTGGTATAGCACCTCAGCACCAGATCCGGATGTCGGGAACTCCAGATGCTAAATCAACCCCCAGCACTCAGGACCAGCCAGGCAGGGATCAATGTGTGCAGACAGCAGGCCAAAAACTGGTGATCATTTTAGGATCAGTCTGCACTAATCAAGCTGTGCCAAAAAATAGGATTAGAAAATGAATGAGCACAACATTTGTATTTTACAAATAGATCACTAAAGACAGATTGGATTTCCCCCAAGTCCTCGCTTATTATTTTACACACTCATTAATAGACCTATGCTGTCAAAAGGAATAATCTATGGTTCTGCATAAATATTAAAAGAGTTACACATTTGTTATTTATCTCCAATTACATAGAAGACTCTGAGATTACTGCAAAGATTCATAACTTTCCATTCTAATAGTAATAATAATGATAAAACATTAAAACTAGTTTGAAAAAGAGCAGGATTTCCATGTTTGTCATCTTTAATGTTAGTATATGGATGTAAATACTTAATATCTGTATTAGTTTTCGTTAGTTTATGGGTAATATTCTAACAGTTTAAATGTGAAATTAATTTGAACTTTCTACCTGAGAGTATCACTGCTGCTACCTTGTGTTTTAGAGTAGAACTGCTTGTTCTGGAGGAGAACAGTTACATCCAAAGTGTAGTGGTGGTCAATGATTGCCACCCCATGAGTCTGACTAATCTGTTATCTACTTTGAAATGTGGCAACAAAAAGTATGCTTTATGCATGTAGCCGTACAGTTCCTGTAAATAGTACCTGGTTTTCCTTTGAGGATTTAAGGCTAGCTTATGAAGAGAGGTTCATTTTTTTTACTGGGATCACAACTGTAAAAAAAAAAATGTCAAAATGCTCACTTGAAACAATAAACAGAAATATTTTGTACGATTTATCGATTTTATAGGACAAACTATTGCAATCTTTCAAAGAAGCTAAACATCTGTATAAATTCATTCTAATTTACACTTATAAAGATATGTTTTAGTTTAAAGAGAGCAAAAATGTACACTGAATATTAGGAAAGAAAGAAATGATGCCATAAATACACTGTAAAAACAACAACAGCAAAAAGGAAATGTAGAGTCAGTCCTGGTGAATACTAAGCTCCAGCTCATTCAGGTCTGTGTCATTTCCAACAATAAACATCCTGGAAACGTCCAGCGGCTCGAGCCAGTCCAGAAAACTCTCTGTTCTTTAGTATTGCCACCTCGCACCCAATTTCAAAAAGCAGCTGGGCTGAGCCACTGGTGCCTGTAAGTGACTGCGGGAGGGGGGGTGGAGGTTTATTCTCAAAAGCTCTGGCTCTAAATAGCACCTTCACAACCTGTCTAAGAATAACAGCAAGAGCAAGACAGGAGGCAGAAACAAGACGTGGGCTCTGTGCTGGCATACAGGCCATGTGAAGAGCAAAGAGAAGTTTCTGAGTGTTCACATGTGCATTTTCAGCAGCAGGGCAGGACTTTTCACTAGTACATGGCATCATCGTAAATGTCTGTTCGCAGGCAGAAGAGGATTCCTCCACCCAGCATAAAGATGGTGGCTCCCCAGCCGAGTCCGTAGCCCCAGTTGAACTCGTGATAGGTCTGCAGAACGGTTCCGTCTATAAACTTGATTGGGTAGAGGACCAGGGCACAGGCCTGCAAAACAACTAAAACCAGAGGTGCAATCATTAGACTGTGACTTAATGACCAAAGCTGAATGAGCAGACTTGCACTTTGTTTAAATAAATCTGAATTTTAGTCAGAGTTCAGTTCTTTTGATCTAGTTTAACTGAAAATTATTCACCAGACAAACAAAAACACTACCTGAAAATCCACCCCCCAAAATGTACAATAAAGTAAAATGTCCTACAACATATATATGAATCCATAAGACTATTATTAAGTGAATACCTTTTAAAAGTTAAAGTTATATGTCTAATGTTTTATTTCAGGCTTAATTGAAGTAGGTATAAGTAGTCATCATCTTTACCACAATAAAGAGCATTTTGAGTTGACAATTGGGGAAAAAAAATAAAAAGCTGCAACTTTTGCAGCAGGACACATTCAAAACAAACTTATTTAAAACACCAGAAACTCTAAACATACTTCTTTTTCTAGGAACTTCATGTACTTTTGCATAAGGTAGCTGTTTTGCAAAGGGAATGTTTTTTTTCTGAATAAATGTGTTTTTTTGCCCGCTAATATCCAGATCATAAAGCATCCTATAGTAGTTCTGCTAAGTTTTCCTTCAAATGATCGGTCTTCCTAATTAAATACATCATTAAGTAGAAATGCAGCATCTTCAGTTAACATACTTTACAATGATAACTACCCTATATAACCACACCACACTTTGGAATCAAATTTAATATCTGCTTTTTAAATTCTCTTAATTTCAGTTTACAGAAAACAATGAAAATAAAATAAAACATGTTTTTTATTTACTCAATCCTTTTTTAGTTAGAATCATATGAAAAAAATGAATGACATTTCTATTGTAAATAGAGAAAAAAACAAATAAGCACAGTATTAATTCTATGACTCAGCACATAAAAACTACTTACACAGATATTACCTTATTTTGATGTAGATTATGTTCTATATTTCTCATATAAAAAGTCTCTTTGCATTTATTGAACCTATTCAGTCTAATTAGGTATTCTAATCATAGTTTAATAATGCCATCATTACTTTATCATTCCAGAATAAAAATGTTTCAAGACAATAGCCCCATTTAATTTTTTTTATTTTTCTTTCTATGTATTAAAATCATATTCTTAGGCAGAAAATGTTTTTTTTTTCACTTGAAGTTCATTATTTTCTTATTTTCAATATTAAAACTACAAATGTGAAAATATCATTTTATTCTTTAGAATAGAACAACACAAAGGAAATCTAACAAACTATGGCCTGATTTTTGTACTCAGTCTTCCTGAATCAATACTATGTAGATGATTCTTTTGTTTTAATGACAGTTAAAAGCTTCTTGGGGGTTTGTTTTAACAAACTATCCACGTTTAGAGGCTACAATTTTTAACTTATTCTTGTCCTAAACAATAAGGCTCACTGAGATTACCATTATTATTGTTCCTTGGTCTTTATGACGCACTTTGTTCATCAAGGTCCTCAAACAAACCTCTAAGAATAGCTGCATTGATAGGAAAACCAAAGCATACCGAATTTTAAAGGAATTTGACTTCTGAAAGCAGCTGTTTGTATTTAGGTTTATCCAACTAAAATGGGGCTAATTTGAAATGTAGCATACGCTTTTAATTTTGAATATATAGTGAAACATTAGAACCATGATTCAATTTTCATCCTTTTAACCAACCTGTAATCTGTTTTTTAATGATTTTCCAGTTTAAATGAAAGATGAGTTTAATGTGGCAAAACGTAGGAAATAAATACTTGCAAGGCTCTCTATCAAATGAAGCTTTTAAAAAAAACATTGGTCCCTTTGGCGTGTTTTAAATTTCAATTCCCTGTACCTATCAACGTCACAGAGACAGAGAGGCGCTTGCCAAAGAGGTTTAGCTTTGTTAAACCTGTCTCTGTGGAGTTCTTATTCAAACGAATGTTAGGACTTTTGGGGAGAAGTGTGAAGAGTCAAAAGATCAACCATTTTTATTTTAATCTCGACCTCACATATGGAGGAAGGCTTTAATGGTTTTTATTTACTTCACATTTTTTCATCCCCATCCATCAGAGCCAAAAGTATTCAGATCAAAGACGCCGGTTCATTTTAATACCTAATGCAGGACTCTGGAGTAAAAGCCCTGCTTTAAATGTCTTTCCACCTTTCCTTCCTACAGGAACGCATTGGGCGTATGTAGGTGGAAATGGCAGAAGCCTGAGTGTGGTTGTGTTGACTGAGGCCAGACTGAGCGCACTGAGGTCATATTTCTGGAAAGAAAACAAATACCTCAGAGTCACGGTCCTCCTGCCAAGAGGCTTTTAACAATCCAGCCCTTCTGCTGCTGCTGCTCTGCTGAGGACTCCATCTCTATATGGAGACATTTTTTCCTCGCCAGGCTCTTAAGGCAATTACACACAGGAAGGAATAACACGGCATTCCCACGCCTTTCAGTAAATGGGTAACAGGGGAAAGCCACGGCTGCAGACACCACTACAGAGCTCCTCTGTAGCAGCTGTTTGCAGTCAAAGCTTCCTTATCAATGTCCTTCAGTGTTAAGATGGAGCTGTTTACAGTAATGCTAAATGCTTGTTTAGAAAACACCTCGTCATCAATAAACATTGCTACTGTCAAACAAAAATAAGACATTGTTTATCATTTATCTGTCTTAATAACATTATTCTTACCCTTATCTAAAGGCTTATCTAATAGGAATTTTATATAATCAACTAAACCATATTATTGCATAATTGTGAATCTTGATGGGAATGATGTTTAGTCTAAAAAAAAAAAAAAAAAAGCTACTTTGAAGTTTAACACGCACAGATTTTGATTCTCCTTTAATGCTGTGTAGAACCATGGGAAAGTTTATTTCAAGCATGTAAAGAACAACTAAAATGATTTACTTAACACAATCTCCAAACAGTACTATTGTTATTTTAATAAATGCAAAGGAGAGGGAAAAAGTTAAAATTATTTAATTCCATATCTTCTCCAGAAGACAATATTTTATTCATCAGTTTCCTTATTTTCAATAAAGTCAGTGTTCTTAACATGAATTTGTATATGTGCAAATAAGGAGCCGAACATGTTTAAAGACATAAATTCCATAAATTATTCTGACAGTCTAACTGATTCCAGATATGTGCTGCTGAACTTTTTATTTCTAGAGTTAATTTACTTATTATTATTTTTTCATCTTTACAAGGTAAAATATGAAAAATGTTACACAGGTCTTAGTTTGAATTAAAAAAAACAACAAAAAAACAAAAACAAAATATCAACAATGGATAGAAAATAGAGGGAGCAACCATGCATGTCCATACATGATCTCAAGGCATGGCTGCTGGATGCGCTCATAAATCGCCCAACAAATACATAGCAGCCGATAACCATAAAAGAAAAAAAAAAATACTAATATCGATAAAACATATCTGACCACAAACTCCTCAGTTCATTTTATAATATTTTAAAAATATATATAGATACAAATAAATATATACACATGGCAGATATTTATACATGTTACAGAATAAAGACAAACCATAGAAAGTATCAGAGAAGAACTATTAAGTAGTAATATTTACAAAGGAATCAAACATATAGCCATAGGAACAATAATAAGATACACTCTTTGTCATATCTCTTAAAAAATAAGGATTTTAATCCTTTTTTAAACTGCTTCCTGTTTGGACACTCCCTCAGCTTTTCTTCAAACTGTTCTATAGTCTTACTCCACACACAGAAATTTAACAAATTGCATGAAATTAGGTTAAAATTAATCTGTCCTCTTAACTGACAACCTGCTTCACTTTTATTAAATAATTTTTCTGAATATTTTTTGATTACTATTAATTTTTCATATTTAGATTCAGTTAGGAAGTACAGTAACACAATAATGAAGGGGCAAATATTATGACTGATGGAGTCTTTTAAGATAAAGGATAGAATTCATTACAAACTTAACATGCATTATTAGAGTCGGTTTAAAGAAAGGCTGGAAAAATTTGAGGCAGTTAAAGATTAAGTAGATGAACTGAGACGTTTCGATTATCTGGTGATGACTAAACAGAGGAATTATGGAGAAATAAACACGTCTGATTCTCATATAACAGCAACAGGAGGAACAGGAAGGTTTCTGTGATTTAAGACACACTTTGTCCTCATCGGCTCATATTCTGTCATATCAGGTTGATCTGTTGAGTCTATGTTTTCGTCATATTTCTGAAAGGAAAACTGGTTTACTGTTTTTAGCCTATTAATACATTAGAGCTGAGGGCTAGACACCTACCTTTGAAATGTGAACTTATCATAATAGAGATTTAGCCCAGGAAGTCTGAAAACAATCTAACCCGTGTTTTCTGATTTTTTCCTTCTAGGCAGGGTTAATACATTCTTTTAAAAAGCCTGTAGCTATTATTGCTTCCAAACAAGTGAAAATATCCACTTTGTTTTCCTTTGTGAAGGCCACTGCTGTAACTGCCTGTGTTTTATTGACAAAACCAGTTGTTCTGTGTATTATTGTACGAGATGTTTGGCAGCCTAAACACCCAGAATTCGACTTTATTTGCATTTTGGAAGCAGGTTTGAATCTATTCCATCAACTGGATTTCAAATATTAGTGCAAACAGGCCCTGTCTTTTTGAAATGACGGCTTTGATTCTAACCTTCCTGTGTACATTTCCATGGGGCAACTGTGTACTTCCAAGATGGCCGCTGGGTTCTTTTTGTGACACTGTTGTAAACACCTTATTAATTGTGTTTTTTCAAGCGAAACCAAGTTCATATGAGCAATAAACACTTGTCTTCCTGCATATTTATGGTGCTCATGTTACTTCACAGTTGTTCTTTGTTTCAAACGGCGCCAAATGTTTCTGATGAGTGATGGTCAGAGCTGCAGGAAGGCCAGTTCAGCACCCAGAATAGACTTTTGTAATAAAGCAGAAAATATGTGGTAAGGAAGTCAGATATCGCAATATAAAAATTTAATTATAGAAAAGCAAAAAAAAAACAAAAAAAAAAAACACTAGAGCTGCAATACTTTGTTGTTGTTGATTGTTAAATCACCTGAAATGCTCAATTTGCAAGGGTTTCCCTGCCTGGAGTCCTGGCTCTGGCAAACTTTTGAAGGGAAACAGGCAGAAGCATTGCGGCATCTCCTGGGTTCAGCGTGCTAATTAGGCTGACAGTTACCAGGTCAGTAAACAGTTCAATAACTGAGGAGGAATCTCTCCCAAAATAAACTTTTTTATCACCAAAAAAGGTGGAGGACATGGAAAAATCTCTGTAAATGTGGGAAAGTTAAAAACAAATCCTTAATGTTTGCCTTATTTCTTGAAAAAAAAAAAAAGATCTACAAAGAAGCAGTTGCATTGGTTACCCATTAGCTTTGACACAAATAAATAAAAGGAGAATAAAAACCTTTTTGTTCCAAAAGAAAAATAAAATGTAAAAATTGGAATTTAAACTCTGCCCACTTTAATCTGATCCCACTAAATAAAGTTCACTTCAATTTTTTTTTCTCTCTTTCTGAGGTTTACGACAGATAACTGGTGAACAAACAGCACCAGGAAAACAAGCAAACACAGAAGGCAGCTTGGGTTGAAATTTAATCCAACTTTAAAAAGCTCCTAGATCACTGTTCCCCACCTAAACTAGCGGGCTCGGCTTGGAGAACAAAACACAGAGAGCAACTAAGAGGCCTACAGTTACTGTTGAGGAACTTGCTTAAAATAAGACATATATTACCAATACTTCATCTTAATGCAAAACAAAAGAAATACATAATTTAAATAACGCCATAGGAAGCTGCAGTTGGTTTTTGGTTTACATTCAAAACACTGTGAGTGGCTGAGATTTGATGAGGAGATGCACTGCAGTGTAATATTGAATGAAAACCTGATAGAGGCTGGTAAATAGATCTGAGGGTGAAGCTACACTTTCCAGCAGGACAATGAACCTGATCCCAGGCTTTGAAAATGCTGCTCAGCAATGCAGAGTTAGAGTAAGAAATCTTTGAAAGAATGGAAACAATATCCCAGTCTTGATATTTAAAACTGTAAGGACTACATTCTGAAAGTCAAAGATCATAGAAATCATCTTTCTTCCATTCACAATCATCTGCTTTTCTATGAAACGGTGTGTTACATAACATCATAACATTAATGTAAATCATATCAATGTCTTATGTTTACATTTGATCACTGCTGCACTTTAAGAAATAAAAATCTCATGAAAGCTGTACAAAATTAAATGTTGTTTCTGTATAAACACTGCCATTCTGTATGTACAAAATGACAATAAAGTTTGTCTAAGTCCAAGTTTTAGTCTACATTAGGTCCCAAAAAGGTGCCATTAACTTTGAGAGTCTCATAGCATGTAAAAAAAAATAATAAAAGGTTAGAGCAAATTCCAAACCCTTTAACTAATTATTTTTCAAATATGTTTATCTTATTTAGAAATAAATAATTATTTTTTAATTGAAAGAACTAAAAAAACAGCAATGAGGACTAAACGTTTCTTTTAGACGTAGAATGGTGTGACATCACACATCATCTATATGGTTATTTTTTACCAAAAGCGTAGCATAGCGTAGTAGGGGTGTTAATAATAATCGCTTTGTATCGATGCATCGATCCAACAGCCGACGATCCGATGCATCGACACGTCCGCAAGAGAATCGAATCATGTTTTTTTTTTTCCTCCGGTCTATTTTTATCCATTTGCTCCTGGGCGTAATTCTCCCTCCCTAAATCTATTTTGTCATAAAAACCAAACAAGCCGGCCTCCTGTCTGCGGCACTGTTTGCGGTCAGCTACAATTTGGGAGAGGAGCAGCGGAGCGTCTGTGGAGGGGGCGGGGACGTCTGGAGCCGAGGTATTGCATTGCACTGCATTGCGATGCAACTTTTCTACTTCTGTTATTTGCTTTTGTTTCTAAAAAAACAAAAAATGCATAATGATATTACAGCTTTTATTGATTTATTTAAAACTTGAAACTTTGTTTAGCCTGTAAGTTGTAAAAAAAAAAAAAATTTCATGGATTAATCGAATCGAATCGTGGTGTATTCTTGAGTATCGAAAATAATCGAATCGTTGGGTCAGGAAATCGATACTGAATCGAATTGGATGTCATTTACACTCCTATAGCATATAGGAACAACTAACTTTGATTGGTTTAGCAAGAGAGCTACTCCCGTCGTAGTGAAATCATGTTACTAACTAAAGAGCCGTTTGATGCTAATGGTGCAGCACTTCATTCAGGGTTTAATTACTCTGTTATTGACAAAGAGGATGGAACACCTGCGAAAATAAAGCAATGAAAAGTTACTTCTTCACTAGACATGTTACTGCCAAATGTGAAGCTGTTTTGCTGAGTAAGCATGCAAGACAACAGGTGGGGGTGGGGGTTGCAACTGGAGTGGAGAGAGGTGTCACTTGTCACACATCTTGGTTCGGTCAACAGTCAGTGCTCAAATGCCCCACCTACTGGTGAACTTTCGTTTCTTGCTCCTTTAGACATTTTAGACCTAACATTTATGTTATTTACAGACTTAATTATATGTGAAGAACATCTATGCCACTTCTGTTGGCAAAGTGTAAATGCATTTCTAAGCGGAGATGCAGGGAAACAGTTGATTATGTTTATCTCCAGACTACAAGACATCTGTTTCTTATAAAATTAATTTAATTTTAGCGCCTGTACAGCTGGAAGTCAATATGAGCAATGTGCTGTGATAGTGAGTGGTTAGAGTTTCACCACCGTTAAACTCAATGCAGCTTGATCCATGACTCGAGTTATTACAGTCTCTTTATTCCACATGGAAGAATGCGTCCTCATCTTTCTTCCTAATTATATGTTTCAGAGTTAGATCCTCCCATCTCAGCTACAGTTTGGTTTGGCTCTAAAGGTCTTTCCACAAAGCAGGACTCCAACCTATGAGGCAACGCTGGCTGAGCGGTCTCTGATGATTTCTTTACCACATCCCTCTGTGACTTTACTTTAGCGTGTAAAGCTTCAAATTCCACGGCTGCTTTTTTCTTGGCTCAAGCAGCAGCAGCCTTCCAGATTGAATCCGCAAAAAAATGAGCTCACACATCAACCCTCATTCTGATGTTTTGCTTTTTTTCCTTATTCTTCTTCTGTTTAATAGGTGTAAAAAATAATAAAACATGCGTGCATGGAAACTATTGTGGCAAATGCTAATTGATTGGCTCTTGAATCCCCATATGTGCCCATTTAAAAAGAGGCTGACCTACCTGCAGTGAAGAGGAACACTGCTACAATGCGGTAGTGCTGTCTCTTTGTCCCCCAGCAGACAGAAATGAGGGCCACCAGGAAAGCCACCAGAGTAGCGACCGCACCGGCCCCCAGGAGCACCAGGGTGGCAATCTGCCAGTCTGCAGGACAGATACACAGGCAGGTTAGAGGGGAGCATCCCACTCCAAAAACAAAACCTCGATGCAGAGTGCAACACGGCTGAATTGAAACGTTTGTGTTGAACAACACAAAGAATGTGCTAATTCTATACAGAGAACCGAACACAGCAGAAGAGCCTCAGGCCTGCAGGAGAGAATCAGGAACACAAGAAAAAAAACAGCTTTTCAGAAGTATATGGAGTGAATTATAATCCATTATTTGAAAAAAAATTTAATAAAAGAATAATAACTTTAACTAGATTTTATATTTTCAAATGTTTTTTTCCTGAATGAGTTTTTAAAATGTCATTCTTTAAAACTGTGTTTTAGAAAAAAAAAAATCCCTGAAAAATTGCTGCATGCTGGAACAGGCTCCGGAAAACTTTAAGCCCTGGATTTTAGGACGGTGGGGCACGATGCCAAGTGAATGTTGCAAACTTTCTGCAGAGTCAATCAATACACACCTCCGAACTTCATAAGGGGTTGAGATCAGCTCACAGAGAGCTTCATGGAATGAGTTTCTATGGTTCACCAGCTGCCATACATCATCTGGTTCTCTGGGTTTTCAGTTTCCAGGAGAAAGGTACTTGTCTAACTGCATTGCACCCAGTGCAAAGTTTGGAGGAAGGGGGATAAACAGTGTTGGGCCTGGTCCCTTAGTTCCTCTGAAAGGAACTCTGAATGCTTTTGGACAATTCAATGTGGAAAAAAGGTTTAGAGCTGGTCCCTTTCTCTTCCAACATGACTGTCCTGTGGCAATGAACTTGATTGGCCTGCAAAGAGTCCTGACCTCAACCCATTAGAACTCCTTTGTGATAATTTAGAGAACAGACTGAGAGAGTGGCTTTCTCGTCCAACACTAGTGTGTGACCTCGTGGATGTGCTTCTGGAAGAATTGTCAAAAATTCCCATAAACATACTCCCTAAACCTTGTATACAGCCTTCTAAGAAGAGCTCAGTGTTTCACCTGCAAAGGGTGGAGCAGCGTCATATTGAGCTTCTATTGATTAGGAAGCGTCACTGAAGCTCATATGATAGTCAAGGCGGATGAGTAATTACTTGTGGCAATAGAGTGTAACTTGTTCAGGGGTGATGCTGGAAAACTAGTCAAGGCATTTGTTATTTCAAGGCTGGACTGTTGTAATTATTTTGTACTTAAAAGCCTCCAACTGATCCAAAATGCTACAGCTAGAGTTGTGATGAAAATAAAAAAATATATATTTCTCCTATCTTAGCTTCCATTCATTTGCTTCCTGTTAAATCAAGAATAATGTTTAAATCTATCTAGTCACATATAATAAATAACCAAGGACCACCTGATAGTAGAGATCTGATTGTTCCTTATGTACCTAGAGCAATACACTATCAATCTACAGGTGTACTAGTGGTCCCAAGATTTTCTAAATTAAATATGGGAGGCAGATCGTGAAGTTTTAAGGCTCTTCTCCAAAGGAACCAACTACCAGTTTTAGTCCATGAGGCAGACACCATGTCTTCTTTTAAGGGTAGGCTTAAAACTTTCCTTTTTGATAAAGTTTATGCTTAGAGTGGCTCAGGTTATCTATAGAGTGCTGCTATAGGCTTAGACTGCTGGAGGACATAGGTACCACTTTTTATTTTTCTGCTTCATTCTACTTTGGTCTTCAATTCTCCAGAAGAACATGTAGACCAACGAGCCCTATGGTAATTATAGAGGAGCTGCATAGATTTGCTGTTCAGAGACACAAAAATGTGCACTCCCTCTCCCTAATCTGAGCTTTTATTGAAGATTAGCAAAAACAGCTTGATAGGTAATAAAGCCAATCCAGTCTGCAGCTGACAAAAAAAACAACAAAAACATTTAGGTGAGAAAACACCACTTTCCCTTACTCCGACAGAAACCCTGTGGTGAAACCACACTGAGAAAACCTGTTGAAAGCTGAAACAATGTTTTTTCTTTAGCCTAAATTAACAGGATAACACTTCTTTTAAAGGGAGTCTTGGCCAAAAGGCAACAACCAATAAAATGAAAAGTAACACAAACTGAAGAAAAACAATACATTATGAAAACAGGTGCATGTTAGTAAATCACACTTGAGAACTTTTTGAATGAAAGTAAAAGTACTTAGTGAGAAGTATTCAGTTTTTTTGAAAGTTTTCTGAATCAAGTTCTAACCCCCCCCCCCCCGTGACAATTAATCACAATGGTGGGTCGACACTACATGGCTTGCAATGAACCGTAGAGAAGAGAGAGAAACACTCTTGCCTTTTCAGAGTGTATATAAATTAGGGATGTAAACAAATAATGACCTAACCTAAAAAAGGTGAGGATGATAGAAATGTGGATGACTTTATGCAAAACATGTTTTACATGACATAAAAAAACATGCAAGCACGGTAGTGGGGAAGAATTTGTCACTTAAACGGTATTAAGGGGGATCTTTTATTTCCGGGTGGATCATCTAAATAAGTGCTGCTCCTCATTGTCAATCATTCTGGTGATATGTTTACGTAAAGGACGTGCTCATCCCGTTAGCTATATTTTTCTGTGCACTTTTAGGCGTATATCTGTGGTGGGCTATGGTTTCAGACAGCTATTTAAGCAAGGAGAGCTCTCCTTGCAAAGCATTATGGGCTTGCTTTCACAGCGGCCCGCTGTCGCCATAGGCTGCCGCAACACGACTGCGGCAACTAAAAACAAAGATGCCGCAGGCACCGCGCAGTGGGAAGTGATCATCTGTGCGAACGGTAAGTTGACTGAGTTCACTATAAAGTCCACTATATAGTCCACGCTCTATATAGTGATTGAGGGATTTACATGTAGGGTTTAGGGCTGAAGTTCGGACACAGTAAGCTTGAACGAGCTATAAGAACACCAGGAGAAATGGGCTTGTGCATGCTCTCTCACATGCAATTTTTTTTTCTTTAAAGTGGAGAGGGCGGGTCTTTTAATAAAAAAAATTGAGAAAATCCTCCACAAATACCTTTAATGCACTTTTTGAAGCTGTTTTTACATTCCTTTGATGGCAACCAGAACCCAAACCCATCCCCTGTGTAACAGCACTGCTAACAGCACTATGTCTCTCCCAGGACCAAATGCAGGAATTACACTAAATACAGAGAGCTATATAACAGTTAGCATCCACTTCTTCAAAATAAAGTGGTTAATAGTCTGACAGCACATCAGAGCGACATCCCCTGCCTTTCAACCATAGTTTTACACCCCTATACATTGGATGTACGTAAATCTTTTATTTGGTAACCTAATAGTTTCCTGTTTTGCTATATCATATAAATAAGTTTAACAACGTCCCACTGGGAGGAGGCATAAGGAACAGCCCAGGACATGGAGGAGAGGCCATGTCTTTAAGTTGGCCTGGGAACTCTGGAGAGGGTGTCTGGGGAGAGGAAAGTCTGGGAATCTGCTGAGACTGCTGCCCTAGTGACCCTGTCAAGAATAAGCAAAAGTTTAGGGCTGAAACAATTCATCTGATAAATCATGATTAATCGATTATTGAAATAATCCTCAACTGATTTACTAATCAATTAATCATTACCTGGAGTATAGAGGCTCTAAAACCTAGCTGACAGAGGGACCCGCTTAGAGCACTAATTATTTAGAAAAAGTTAATATTTTGCATTTAAGATTAAAAAAAAAACTTTTTTGGTCTATCAATATGCTCCATCCAGATCTCCATTAGTGTAAAAGTTTTAGATTCACCTGGTTTAATTCCTAAAAAATTTCTTTAAGGAACCTTTTGCTATCAAATTATTAATTGATTAATTGAAAAAAATAATCGACAGATTAATCGATTAGCAATATAATGGTTAGTTTTTGATTCCAACCAAGTTTAATAAAAATCTATATTTCTTGTCTGTTCTGTACTATTTCTTTTTATGGAGAGATCCTCTTCATACAAGAGAAAACTAAGGTTTTAAGAAAATGGCAGCTTATCAATTAATCATTAGTCGACCAATAAGAACAATTCATTTCAGTTTTCAGAAAAGTCATTAACCGATAACATGCATCACTAATATAAATGCAAACCACACTTTACAGATTGTTTGTAAACTATGTATAATGCAATATTAATCCACTTTGTGCTTATAAGTTCAATACCAAATAAAGACGTTGTTTTTTAAGCAACAAAACCTAACAAACTTCGAAGTGGCGTAATATTTTTTTTCTTGATAGGGTTGCATTTGTTTTAAGCGACAAAGACACTCATGATCCACATTTTTTAGGCTGAGCTCTTGGGGAATTTTCAAACAAGGAAAAGTGTACACCTTAATGTGACTCACTGCATACCATAAGAGGACAAAAGAGTGGCGCCTTCTAACTTCCAGGATTAATCCTAAGCCTGAATGTGCATTTAGCAGAAATCTCAGGGGAAATCTCCGCATTGATGTTCTTCCTCCAACTGGGTTGAACCTAATTGTTTCCTCCATCAGGAATGTGAACAATCTAAAGAGGAACTAAAGGCATTCTTTAACATCGCACTTGATGTAACTCTGTGGCGCTGAATCCTTCTTTAGCCTTGAACCTGAGGCAGATTGTTTATGGACCGATGAACAAAAAAAAGAAATATATCTTTTATAATGAATCTAAAGCAGAAAACTTCATAAAGTTTCTTGTCTGTGCATACAGCACAACTGCAAGTGTTGTGCTGTATTACAAGGTCACAAGCACTTTCTACTTGAAAGACTTTGGTTCAGGGATAAACCAATATGAACATCCCCTCCTGAAAACAGAAACAGCAACTACCTGGAAATAAATAATGGTTATTATTAAAAGCCCAGTTTTACCTATCTGACCAATATGTAAAAAAATGAATGAACTACAGATGGCAGTTCATGAGTCTCCACCTATGACTGAAAAACCCATTTTCTGTCAATGTCAGTGACTTTTAGAACAACTACTCCAAACAATCTGTGGTTTGTCCATTCATAAAAGCAAAAATTAAGTCTTTCTTTTTACATCAACATATTCTTCCTGGGAAAACCCTCCACAACAGCAGGAGAATTGCTCATTTTTACACTTTTGTTTCAAGCTGGACCATTTTTTTGCAGAGTGTGCCCTAAGAGAGTCTCTCACAGCCATAAAAGATTAAAAATGGATTTAGGGCTAAAACAAATTAACGGATTAGTCGTGATTAATTGATTATTGAAATAATTGTCAAATTATTTAGTTATTGATTAATCTTTAACTGGTGTATAGAGACTGTAAAACACGCCTTTAGCTGACCGAGCGAGTAATTATATAAAAATTGTAAAAAAAAAAAATATGTAGACAATTTGCACTTAAGATTAAAAAAAAACAACACTTTTCGTCTTTCAGTATGTTCAAGTGGAAACATTTTAGTTTCACCTGGTTTAATTTAGTAATTTATGAATTTAGCAATCAAAGTAACAATCTCCTTTAAGGAACCTTTGGTTATCAGATTATTAATTGTTTAATCTGAAAAAATAAACAATAGATTGTTGTCTGTGATGCTTTAAACATCTGGTACATAAGAAAGATTCAGAAGAGGAAAATTTTAGCTCATCTTGTTAAAATCTTCAGAAGGAATATTTTTCACCATCTTTAGTGCATCATGTGGTTAAATATTTGTTCTGACACAGAAAAACAAAACTCTCACATTACAAGCATATTTTCCTAGCTCTTTTTTTTCTGATGTTTTTCAATCCAGTCACCTGCATGTTGTTATCTCTAGAACTGCCTCCGTTTTATGACGTTGTTCTAAAAATAAATACGTTGAAGAACCTTCAGATGAGCATGAGAACATGTGGATGATCGCCCTTTGTTGCCGTTTGCTGATCGGCACCTTTAACCCCAGCACGCCCCACTCCACTGTTGTTTCAATGACCTCAAAGCAGTGAGCCCGCCTCCCATTCTCCCAGCACATTCCACAGTGTCAGAGGGAATGCGGTCACCGCAGGCTTTTGGTCCCTCTTTGTTTCTGGAGAGGATTGTGAGACGGACTGGTGCAGCTACTGCACTGTACCTTTATGCAGCAAGACATGCTACAGTTAGCCTAACAAAATGCTTTATTACAGAAGTTAACACTTTAAGTTAACTTCATAGCATCAGCAAGTTGTTTAATATCAAATCATCACAGATATACTAGATGCTACTTAGAATGTGTCTGAATTTTGAGCCATGTCTCTGCCTCCATTAATGGTTGTGAGAGAGCAAGTTTTTCAGCAGATAATAGGAAGGCTAAATGTATTACAGCAAAGTTTCCCAGACCCCTTTTTAAGTTTACAGCATCAGTTATGAATAGTGCTTGATTTTGAATTGTCCTGATAAAGATTTACATTGACCGGAAAAAACACACTTGGACAGTCGGTTACAGCTGCAACACCTAAACATGCAAAACGCTAATATATGTTTGCTGAAGATAGTCTTTCCCTACTTATAATGAACTTTCTTTGCTGTAATGCGACTGCTTTCCTGCTCACACAGTGTGGCATCACCTCTGCTTCTAGGAAGCAAAGAAAATGTTGAGAGACCATTTTTGTAATAAGTTTACTCGGAGTTTTGTTTGCTTCATTCCTCTCTTCAAAATGCAACAAAACGCCTTAAGACCGAATTTAAAACCAGCAAGCTTTTAAAGAATATATAAATCTGCAGCTTGTAGCTTGTTAAATTTGAATTCAACATTTGCCTTAGTTTGCATTTTACTGCCTTAGAACCAAATAAACCAACTCAGTGGTTGAATTTAATAGATGAAGCTAAAGGAATTTAGCTGATGAGTTCTCCAAGATCAGTTTAACTCTGTTTATACTGAAATATTTAGAATAGAAATAGAAATGTGCTTTTACAACTCAATGATCTTAGTGATTCAGTGGCAGGTGCATGGTAATACTACAGTGCTGATACTCACACCAGTCACACTCATGGCCTAAGGGCCAAATCTGGCTCATTGTAGCAGATATCCAGGACCTCTGGAGCCAAAAACTGTTATTGGGTCATAAAGTAGAGGCTTATTTAGTTTTAAAGTCTACAAAGTGGCTGAAACTGATAAATGAATGGAAGTAAAGTTATAATATCAAAGCGAGGGGCTCTTTGTAACAGGATTGAGGAAATCAAAAGTTTTATCATACAGCTGCAAGCGTCCCTTTTAAAGATTTGATGATGCTCTAAAAGCCTGATATAAAAATGGCCAACTGTGTGAACCAACGCATAGTGCTACTGAAATACTATTCCTGATTTTTATTTGATATAAAACTTTTATTAAAACAATAATTGTACTCCTAAATAATGTTGAATGTTTCCTACCAAACATGTTGTGAGGTCTTTAAAACATCTTAGATCGTTTTTTAGTTTTGCAAAAAAAGAAAAAAGAAAAAGAGAATTTGGGGTTCTGTTAAGCATAATTAGGTCCAAACAGGAGCAAAGCTAGATGGGGGCCACCCTTAGCCAATCATTTGCCACCCCTGTGGCCACACTTATTATTTTCCCTCTAATACAGAAGGTGGCAGCAGCAATACTCTAAAGTGGAACATTCAAAACATTTAATTTTTTCATATATTAACAATAACTTGACAACAAAAACACTGGTTAATTATGCACGTCAATATACTAACATTAAAGAAGATAAGTATGGAATTTATCCACTTTTCAGAACTAGATTTTGTTTCATATGGGGTAAAGAGAAAAGGGGGTGTCACTGCAAAACATCTTCAGTCAAATAATAGATTAAAAAAAATTATTAATAAAAGCTTATTAAATTTATGTAGATATTAGTACTTGTAAATATCAGTTTTATGCAGAGTAGGTAAGTAATGACGATAGAAAATGGATATTTGCCCCAGAACTCACACCTGAAAGATTTTTATCCAGTTAACCTTTTATCTAGAAAGCACAGATGTTTAATTTTTTTATTAGCAAAAGGCTGTAGGAAAGTATAGTTTGTCTTTATTTAGAAAATATGGACGTGCTCATTAATTTTGCTGTTGGAACAGAGTAGATTGGCCCTGAGGTTCTAAAGCCTATCCGCTTTCAGCCCCCCCTCAGAGTGCATTGATTAGTGCCTGGCCACCCTTATAAAAATGTTCTAGCTACGCCTCTGTAATTAGGTCCAAACTCTCAGAAGATGAAGTTAAAGACAGGGTTTGTACAATAAACACAAGAGGAGAATAACTGAGGAAACAAAGAAGAAGCCTCGTTCTCCTACCAGATGTGAGGGTGGAGAAGCAGTTCCATGCCGCTGCCTCCTCCGCGGGCTGCCGGAGCCCGGACTGGGAGCAGGACTCCCAGAGGGACAGGGAGAAATGCTCGGCAGTGACCCAGGCTGGACTCAGCAGAGCCACCACGTCCAGGCAGAGCGCCAGGAAGACGCAGAACAGAGCTATCAGCTTAAAGGGCCGGAACACGTACACCTCATCCACAGACATCTCCTCAGTGACGGTGATAAGCGCAGCTCTCCAGAGGTCTGTGTGCGTCTCCTCTCACCATTCCCCTCACTGGAGCTTTGTCTCCGAGACCAGCTGCGAAAGTTCCCTGGACACTTCCGGTTGGATGGACTTTTCACAATAAGTGCACTGGTGGCCCCCTTAAAGAAGTTTGGATTTTTTCCATTTTTATACCATATTTATTTTAAGTAATTAAAATGTGTATCATATTTAGTTCGTTATGATAGCTAATAAAATTTTATTTATTAACGTAGTTCATTTTAACAAAGAGTCACCTGCAATCAATAGATTTATATGACACTTCAGATAATAATACAAGGATAATCATATTTTAATTCAAACAGAATATAAAACCTGAGCTGCTGTCTTTTTTCCCAGGGTTTACTAAAAAAATAACAAATGCAAAACAATTCCCTTTCATACGTCTAGGCCTAACTTTATGGAGGACCAATCCTGCCATAATTAAAAATAAATACAGAAATGACTAAATGCTCCAAAAATAAATAAGCATACAGTTAATTGCCCCCCAAAATACAATAAAAAAATTATTTAGATAGTAATTAATTTATACTGTGAAACATAAATATATATTAATATATATCTTTTAATTAGCTTCTTTTTTTATTTGCCTAATAAAGTAATAAATAAATAAAGTTAAAGATTATAACAGACAATAAATAAATTCTGTACGCATTTCTCCCTCATTATGCAAATGAGGAGGGGTGTGTCTTAAGGGCTCAACTTCTTTCTGGAGCCAGCCGGGGACGGAGCAAACAAACCCGACCAGGTGACGGTATGCTTCCAACCGCCTGCCCTACAGTTCTTCCCCCCGCCTGCCCGGTAAGGCGGGAGCAACATGCAAATAAATAAATATTTATTTTATACTTATTTTTGTAGCATTTTTTTTATTTATTTCTGTATTTATTTTTAATTATTGCAGGATTGGTCCTCCATATTTCTTAAATAACCCCCAAAAATATTCACCCTCAGCGGATAAAGAATGGTGAAGTGATCTTCCATCACATTTAGGTCCGATGGATGCAACCATGGCAGTAATAATAAAAGTAATAATAATAAAAAAGAAATACTTGTTAAAAAAAAAAAAAAAAACTTGAATTTGATATAATTTCACTTAATCCTAGGTATTGAATATTGCATATAAAAAAAAAAATCAAAAATATTTTTGAAATTACAAGTTAAATAATACATAAACGCTTTATAAAATAAATTATAACTACATTATTACAATGTAAAATAAATTACTACAACCAGCTGTTACTACAAATAATAAAAACTAATAATAATTGTTGCACTTATCATATTTTCTATTAATTATACTCTGACTGTTATGTCATTTTTCAATTCTTCTTGGACTTCTTTGCACACTATGAACTAATTAAAAACAAATGAAAAATATGCCAAATGGAAGAACTCTTTCTCTAGACAAAGCTTAACAGGCACTGCAACTTTAAAGTTATTCAATGTTTGGTTTTTTGTTTTCTCTCAACTGTCAGAACACTTCTCCTGAAAAGTGGGGTCAGCTTTTTGCAGCAGCTGCAGAGAAGTCTACCCTTCATTTTTATATTCAAGGTCTTTTATTTTGAAGATGACGCCATACTACCTTATTCAGTAACCTCTGCTTGCCATGGCTTTTTTTATTCTTGCCAATAGCTTGCATGTTTGGAAAATCTTACAGCTGCACGCTTAGATTGGTGACTGGTAACTCAAGATGCTAAAAAAGATAAAAATATAAAGGCTCCACCAATCCCTTTATTGTGTCAGACAATCACTTTTTAGGATCTATACTGCTGTGATTGAAAACATAAAGAATAAATGGAAATTATGCAATAAAAAAAGCTTTCTTAAAAAGAACAAATTGCCATTGATAATTGGGATAACTATCAAGCACAATCGACTGAAGATGAAGATGAAAAAAACATCAGGACATTTAGCCCTAGAAGTATAAGCATATTATGTATAAATTAAAAACTTTATTTCAGAAAGTCCAGCAAAATTAAAAATTTAACACATAAAAACACTATATACATTATAATTTAGAACTTATGTCTGAAAGAGGTGGCACTTCTTAATCAAACCCATTTTCTTTCCTAATTGATTGATTGACTTAATTGATCTCACAGTGGAGAAATGTACTTGTTACATCAGCTCAATCGTCAAAAAGAAGAAGAAGGTGCCAAAAAGAGGCAAAGGTGAATAGGATATATATGAATATATATATATATATATATATATATATATATATATATATATATATATATATATATATATATATATATATATATATATACCCTATATAAAGTAAGTCCACATATACAAATATGACAGCTGAAGTCTCTTATTTAGCAGGATTATTATACAGGGTTATTGCTCACGGTATTCCCTTGTACTTAAAATCAACAATCATCCTGATTTCACATTAACTTAGTCCTTATAACTCCAAAGTCCATAAAGTGACATAATAAATGAATGAATGTACATATGAACATATTCATAGACATCCACACCTGTCTACAGAATTCTTAATTTATACAATTATTACCCATAACCCACATAACCGCAACCACTGCAAAAATACTCCGCGAAAACCTCCTCTACCACCGGCGTCGTCCGCCATTTGGTGATCAGTAGGGTCCTTCTCAGTCAGCCATCTATGCTGACTGAGAAGGACGCTATTCTTTCATCTCATATCTTTTTTAAATAAGCCAGTTTGAGCCTTTTCCTAAACCATCTCATACCAGCACATCACTTTAATTAAACACTGAGTGTTTTTAATACTTTCACTCCATTTATTGAAATATACGTTCTTTTTATGTCTGTTGGGGCACATAAGATTTTAAAATGTGGATTATTTCTGTAAATAAATCCTCCCTCCCTCTCTCTCAACAAATAGTTTTTGAATGGTATCTGTTTATTTCTAGCTCTCTACATTTTCTTTTTCAATTTCTTTGAGCAACAATGCAAGCAAGATTTACATTGAGATGTTAAGACATTTTGGTAGAGCTCAGACTTAGTAGGTAGAAGTTCAGTAACTTATATTACAATACTCATGTCACATAACATATAAGGATTTTGCTCAATGGAGGCTTTTCAAATCAAAGCACATTTTTTAAAGCAGTTGTACAGAAAGAAGAAGGAAGTGCAGGAAGTAGATCCCGGCTAGCTTTGTACACTACTGCAAGAGTTTTAAATTTGATTAAATACTTGTAAGGTGAACTTTTCCGGTTTGTAGAATTTAAGCAGGAATGAACGATAAAGGATTAGTGTGGTTATGATAATCAGCCTGATTATCATTCATGGTTATGAATGCTCTTTTCTGCAGCCTGTATAGTGTTATGAGAGTTGTCCTTTAGGTGTGACCCCTTACTTCTACACATAAACTCAGATATGGTAAAATCAGTGAACAAAGACAGTGTAATGCTTTTAGAAAATGTTTTGCTTTTCTTAGAGTTGCAATACATAGTTTAGCCTGAACAGGTTTAATCTGAGCCTTACAGTAGGTCCTGTAGTCAATGATCGCACATACGAATTTTAATTTATTTACTCATTCTACCTCTATCCAATCTATTTTCACTTTCACATGTATATCTCCTATATCATTTCAATATGACATGAACTTAGTTTTCTCCAGATTCTACAGTCATTTATCATAAGGTTTAAATAATGAGCCAAATAATTATTATAGGAAGTCAATTAAGAAGTTAGAAACCAGATCATTAACAGATCATAATCATTTTAGATATTCTTTTACTGTTTGGTTTAAGTAAGACTCCCTTTGTTTAGTGTGGAGGAGGAGTAAGTGAAAAAGACATGGTTACATTAGGAATCATATTTATATTAGCGTATGACGGTCTTTGACTGTAACGTGGAGCAAGCAGGCTCGAATCCTGGTTGCGTCAGGGAGGGCATCCAGTTTAAATACTTTGACAAGTCGGTGAGAGAGTCGTAAACTTTCTGCAGTAACCTCTGAATATGGAAGCAGCCCAGAAAGAAGAACAATCATGTGATATCTGCCCTTTAAGTCATTTTACAAAAACTTTGCATCAGTTCTGTTACAGTATTTACATCTATCTTTTTCTAAGTTATCCACATTTACTCTGATTACATTTTATATTATTTAAAGTACTATTTATGTATTTTGATCATCAAAATTAATTATATCTTAATATTAAAAATAGACCACTAGCAACAGATATCTTAAATGAACAATTAAACCTTTTGCCATTTTATATATATAAACCTCACTTTGATGAAGGAACCAGCTGAATAATGATAGTAATAAGGGTTAACAAAAAACAAAAAAATTATATATATATATATATACAGTATATATATATATATATATATATATATATATATTTTATTTTTTTTATTATTTTTTTTTTGCCAACTCATTTTTGAAGAACTGACAAACAATTTTTTCTCTCCTTCTATCCTTTCATATTATATTGCCTTTGAAGTGTTTGGAAGGATGATGGGTTCCTCACAATAGCAACCCACTGCTCCCCAAAGGGATGGGTTAAATGCAAAAATAAATTTCTATAATGTGAGATCAATAAAGTTCTGTCATCTTAAAGGTGTTTATCTGAACAGGGAATGTCGTTTCTTCTTCTCTGTTTGCCTGCATCTTAGGATCATACCTGCCACCAGTTCACTGTGCTGTTTTAAAATGAGGCTTGGACTTAGTATATAAACTAAGAAAAGTACTAAACAAAAGCATAGAAATAAGATAATAAATTGTATGCATTTTCAGACCCTTACTACTTAAAATCAGTGAATCCACCGTCTGTATACAGATGAGTAATAATTGAAGTGCAAATGTGAGTGGATTTATCATCCAATACAATAAATAAAATATAAAGCAACCTATACAAACAATTAAATATGGAAGAGAAACTATTTGTCAGCTGCTTTAGTGAAGCTGCTTTGCAATGCTCATTGCATCCAGCAGAGGGCAGACATGTAACATTTACCCTCAAATGCAAACTGGATTTCTTCTTTAATGTCAATTTTGTGCTGTTTGTTAAAGGACTACATTTCAACACG